TCTCCGGTACCGGGAACCGAACTCACGACCTTGCGCTTGCCAGGCAGGCGCTTTTGCCGCTGAGCTAAATCCCCAGCCCGGTTCTATATTGTTTTCATTCTTGTTCTGGAAGCCACAGCTGACTCTGTGACAGTCCAGGTTTAATTACTTGGGCTCTGCAATGACCTAAAAAGCCTCTGGAACTAAATACAAAAACAGCTCTGAGACTGCCGGTTTCCCTTTGAAGTGGTAAGCTTTCTCCTTCATGTTATGTGCATGGTTCAAATGAAGTCATTGGAAACCAGAGAAAAAAAATATAAAGACTGAGTTGCAAATAGAAAAAAAATTGAATGCAAAATAATGGTCATGAGAAAGTAGAGGGGAGGGATGAATGATGAAAACACTGGTAAGTGGATATAAATTACATTATAGAAGGAAAAATATATTCAGTATTCTACTGTTTCTTTCTTTGGTATTCTGCTGTATACTATATATTTTCAAACAATATATAGGAAAGAGTTTGGCTTTTTCACCACACAAAAATGATACATTTTGGAGGGTATAGATATGTTTACCCAGATTTGAATTCTGTACATATATATATATCAAATTTCACATTAATCACAAAAATATGTAGAATTTTTAATGTGTCAGGTAAAACTTCAAAATATATGGAACAGAAATAGAAGATTAAAATGGTACATGAGGGGCTGGGGATTTAGCTCAGCGGCAAAAGCGCCTGCCTGGCAAGCGCAAGGTTGTGAGTTCGGTTCCCGGTACTGGAGAAAAACCAAAATAAAATAAAATAAAATAAAATGGTACATGAAAAAACTGACTGTCTGCCTCGCAGGCCCCCAGGGGGGAGGGCCTCTGGAGCATGGGGAGCCACGGGTGGGGAGCACCTGTCTTCCAGCTGGCTAGCTTCCTACCTTGTAGGTCCCCGGAGGGAGGGTCCCCAGTGCACGGGGAGCCACGAGCGGGGAGCGCCGGTCGACCGGCGGCTCACTCCCTGCCTTATAGGCCCCCAGAGGGAGGGCCTCCAGCGCACGAGGAGCCACGGGTGGGGAGCGCCAGTCTTCCAGCTGGCTAGCTTCCTGCCTCATAGGCCCCCGGATGGAGGGCCCCCGGTGCACGGGGAGCCATGCGGCTGAGAGCGCTGTGGCACGCCGGCCTTCAGGCCGGCCACCACTGCTCAGTTGAGAACTATCATGACACAGAGAAACAATGACACAATTGGCCCACAATGCACCGGCTGCAGATGCCCACCCACTGACGTGTGTGAATCATTCAAACATGGAGAAACCCCTGGGAATACATGTCATACAACAGGCCAGTCTTGCTCCTGCCATTGAGAACCAGAAAGGTCCAGAGTCAGCAGTGGAGTAGCTGCTGAACAAGGACTTGGAGAACATGAGAATGCAGACTAAGCCCAAGGAGTCAGAGGTCCAGTGGACTGGGTTCACGAGAGCCGCTCGCAAGCTGTAAACCAGGAGGACCTTGCACAATACCTGCAGAGACTCATTGGAAGCCATTCTTCCCCTGACGGTACAGGCTGTGGTGGAGCTCCGGAGAAGTCTGCAGCAGGATTCCTTCTGCCTGTGCTGACAGTTGGGGAGAGGACATTAACTGGTTGTGGGGTCCCAATGCAATGGGAGGCTGGAGAGAAAACGCTACAAAAAAATGGCTTTGGCCCCAGACGGCTCACTTGATTTTTGACAACCCTTATGCTGTAACTACTTGTTAGATCCTTCTTGTGTATCTCTGTCTTCCTGAGAAACCACTTTGAAGATACCACCATGTATTACAGCAGTCATTGATATTTTCCTACTAATCTGTCCATAACTCTGTAATGTTTGTATTGTTCCTATCCTATTTCATAAATGGATCCATGTTTATTATTATGTGTTTCCTAAAACAACCATTGAGAATTATTGAATGATTATTCAGTAGGTCACTCATGTATAGTTCTATTTATATTCATTAGAAGCCACTTTGAAGATACCTAAGTATAGTACAACAACTATTGATAATCTCCTACCTCTTTTGTCTGTAACTCACTATCATTTGTCTATTTGTG